AGTCGAATTTTACTCTGCTGCACTAGCACGTCTTCGTATATTCAGCTCTAAGACTGGATTGATCTGTCACAATACACTGGCTCCTGCCCTATGATGTATCCAGTAAAATATACTAATGTACACCCATTACCTGTTAGCATTAGTGTTACCCGATAATTACCTGAAACGAAATATTACCACGCCCATGGCCGTTTCTTATCTCGGGGTTTTATTACTGTTTTTCATTTCCAAACAGACTATAAAATCATATAATTTCTTGCGAGGATAGCTGTGGAATTTTTAGCAAAACTTCAAAACAAACAACTAAACTGTCAATTTGTTGTTAGTCTCTTGCAGTGACAGTTTAATTTAGTGTTTATAAGAAATGGAAAGCAATACATATTCAAATGCTGATATTTTAAATTTATTATTCATTCGCGGATGTTGCAGTGGGATTATAAGCAGAATAGTTTTTGAGACATATCCAAATTTGCCACCAATGAGTAGAAAAAAGTTAAGGAGAATTTTAGCAAATCAACTAGAGGAGTATGGTCGAATTTGTGCAGAAAGAATTTTACCAAAACCAATAACTTCAAATGAAGATAATATAATCCTCAGAATCCTCAACTCGTGCCGCAGAGTATGATTTAGGCATTTCGCGAGCGTCCATTCATAGGATGCTAAGAACTAATGATATGCATCCATACAAATTTAAGCTACTTTCTGCTCTTCATCCGGGTGACGCCGTGCAACGTGTACAATTTTGTGAAACGATGTTAGTGCGATACCAAGAAGATCCACATATATGGACAGACTAGTCAAAATTTACGAGAGAAGGTATTTATAGACATAATACTAATTTGTGGTCATCTGAAAATCCTCATGTTATCCGGGAAATAAACATTCAAAATAAATTTAGCGTAAATGTTTTTTGTCTAATTAAAGATGACCAAATTTCTTACCATATCTACGAAGAAAATTTAAATGTCGACAGATATCTCAATATTTTGCAAACGGTTGTGGCAGACTTTCTAAATGATATACCTTTAGACCAACTAAGGAAGTGTTGGTATCAATTAGACGGGGCTCCACCACACTGTCACAATCAAATCGATCAACAACTGACTAAAATGTTTGAAAATAGATGGATGAGACGCCTAGGACCGTGGAATTGGCCAGTGAGGTCTCCCGACCTCACTCCATTAGATTTTTATGTTTGGCAAAAAGTTTATTCTACACCCGTTGCTTCAAAAGAGGATATGATTGCTCGAATACGAAGAGCGTACCATGAATTGCCTGCAGCTGAAATAGCAAAAACGGTGACTGACGGTGTTATCTCTAGAATCCACAAATGCTTAGTTAATGGGGGTCATATTGAACACTTGTGACTTTTTGAAGTCATTTTTTATCTTAGTGCATTATTATTATCAACCTACGTAATTAAAATTATGTATTACAATGTATGAAGTTGATTTTTTAGAAAGATCTTAACTTTATTCTGCTCATTGGTGGAAAATTCGGATATGTCTCATTAAAAACTGTAAATGTTCTGCTTAGAATCCCATTGCAACGTCTATGAATAAATAATAATAAATAACTGATGACAGTTTAGTTGTTTGTTTTGAAGTTTTCCTCAAAATTCCACAGCTATCCTCGCAAGGAATTACATGATTTAGGTGATTACACAAAAAATAGTAGACAACTTAAAAACTAGAAGAGATAAGTATAGGGAACCCTGATACCGTTCTAAAGAGAATAAAATTGTGTATCAGAATATAGAAAAACATACAGGGTGTACCATTAAAAAAACGATTTACGAAGGTTTAAAGTTGACTAAACCCGGCATTAAATTTTTAGCACCCTGTATGCAATTAAGCCACTTTGAAAGTATGGATGGGAAGTTTAGGGGTCTAGCTATCCCCCCGTGGTACGTGGTACGTGGACGCCATTATTTTAGTTGAGAAGGGCGTGCCCGAAAACCCGGTATTCCAATAATTCAAAGTTCAAATCGATGTAGTTAGTCTCTTAAATAATTCTAATGGGCCGTCACTGTGAGACACCCTGTATGTTAATGTGCAATATCCGTGCAAATGTAAAATAAAATTTATAAAAACTTTCTCTGGTGTGACACACAGTGTGTCCCAGGATGAGGTACCGCACTTTTTTAAACATTTTTATTGTTGATTTTCGAGAAAAAGTTATTCTTGATAAAAAGATTTGCGTGATTTGCAAAATATAATTATTCTTCTTTTCTGACTAAACCCCGTATTTAAGCATTTCTTGAGTTCTCGAACATTGTTAAATACAGTTTTTAACGAAAACAAAAGTTAAAGGCACTTTACATTTTGAAATTTTTTGGACGCCCTATTTAATACATATTTATTACTACTACTGATCATGGCTTTCCAAGATAAGCAAAACTTTTTATCTAGAATAACTTTTTCTCGAAAAATCAACAATAAAAGGTGTGGTACCCCATCCGTGGAAACACTATATTTTTGAAACATTTAAAGTACGTTTCTTATCCAAATGACTAGTACTATTACCATATTATTAACACTGTGTATAAAATGAAACATTTATTTTTTCACATACTAAATTTAATCTTATCAGAAACAAATAGATGTAATATTAAAACATGCCGTTCTTTTACATAAACTTTTGAAACGCCGTCGAAAGGCCTAACAAACTAATCATTTTGTCAAAGGCCTGCCGTTATACGTTGAAATTGAAACTTAGACCGACGAAAACGTTTACCTGCGAAATTAATAAGCCACTCCGGGAGGGTTCTCTAATTTGAAAAGCGTTCCCAAATAAATACCCACTTTCCACCTCATCGTACGTCGGATTAGATCAGAGGAGAATTTACATTTCACAGCCTCGCTGACCCTCGTAAATAAAGGTAAATTGTTTACATTGATGTGAGCGGATGGCGAAATTAACTCTACCAGCGACGTGGATATAGTTTTTCTGCGGGGGCCAGATTTCAGACAAAAGTATTCTGCCTGTAAAAGGGGTTAGTTTGAGATTATTGGTACTGCGTACCTTTTGGTTTTAGTTAGAAAATGTTTTTAAAATGTTATTAGTCAAATATTATAAAATTTGTAAACAGACTCAGACATTTTAAAACGTTTTAGAAGTGTTTTAAGACCGTTTTTCACTCATTTAAAAACATTTTAAAAGTATTGCTTGCTGTTAGGGTCTGTTTGTCTTTCGTAAAAGGCATCTCTTCCTACCTTCCATTAAGTGCAGCCGTAAGGAGGTATATCGGGGTCCGAGGGAAGTGGGGAGCGCAGAGGGGGTCCTAAGCTTTTCTTATGGGATTAAAACCCGCTGCCAATTTGAAAAAATTAAATTCTATTGAAATTATTTGCGATAAACATTATCTATATAGCAAAGAAATCTACTCATATGCACATAGCGTACATATTGAATTGTATCCTTTATTTAAAATCCGTAAATCATGTGAACTGGTAAAACAACGAGAATTATGTTAATTTAGTTCTAAAGAAATGAAATGACACTCGCGCCGGTCTCTCGTCCAAGTCAAAGAAAATGTTGGATGCAATTTTGAAGGTTCTGTGATAGAAATTACATTATTACTCACTGTTCCTGTTTTTCATCTCTATTTTAGTAATGTTACAAAAGTTTTGCAACTATAACTAATTTTTTAGATATAAAGTTTGCTGAGAAATATTTATGTTCCTTTGTTATTCCGTACAAATGCTTTTATCTCA